TCCAGATAGTCTCCAGATAGTCTCCAGATGGTCTCCAGATAGTCTCCAGATAGTCTCCAGATGGTCTCCAGATAGTCTCCAGATGGTCTCCAGATAGTCTCCAGATGGTCTCCAGATAGTCTCCAGATAATAAAAAATACATTCATATATATGTTTAAACGGCTGGACCGAATGGGCTGACAATGGCTACTAATTCAATTCAAAAAAAAATTTAAGTTTTGCCCTCTGGAAAAGGAAGAAATAAAATTATATTTTATAACAAAAATGCCTAACCTTTTCGTGAAACCCGGGTTCCAAAACTGGTTTTCATGACAATACTCTGTCTTTCTTCTGCTTTTCTTACAAAAAAAAAATCTGGTTTCTAAAAAAAAGTATAATTAACAGAAATTTATTTTGGAATACTTAGAATTTAATGTATAGTATCTAGATAACCTCATACTTAAAATGTTTTTGTCTATTTTCTATTTAGCATTTTATAGCTCTTTAATGCAGTTTTTTATACTGTTTAAAAAGAACTTGTTTAAAGTTTTCACTCCTAAATTAGTGCTTTCATATTTTAATGCAGACCTGGATTTTTCTAATTTCTTTTCTCAAAAACAAATTCTGGTTTTCTTTAGACCTTCGATATTTCCAACTGTAGAATTCTGTTAAAATATCATAATTTCTCATTAGATTATCTTAAAGATGTGAGTTTTAAGAAACAACATTTTCCCCCAATATTTTGGTGGATTTTTTGGTTGATATTTTGGTGGATAATTTGGTGGATAATTTTGAGAATACTTTTTTTTTTATTGTTTGGTGGATCTTTTGTGAATATTATTGGTGGATATTTCGGCGGTTTTTTTGGTGGATATTTTGGATGTATCTATATTTTGGTGGATTTTTTGATGGATATTAAGTGGATATTTTGGGGGATTTTCGGTGAATATTTTAGTGGATATTTTGGTGGATATTTTTGTATCCGGATCCGTTGAACCCTGCATATTATAGCGCCAGATCCAGGTTCAATAGATCCGGCCAGATTCTAAGCACTGCCTAAAATTATTGGACCTTGGAATGAACAGGAAAATAAGAGAAAAAAAAAAACATTTAAAATTACGCAAACTCAACTAAAAAATCATATTCTTAGAAAAATTTTGTTCCCCAAATTTAAATCAATAAAACACTTGACACCAGACCATAAACCCTAGACAGAAGACACTATTTACTAGACACTAGACACTAGCCACTGGACACTAGACACTATAGAACTAGACACTATTCACTAGACACTATTAACTAGACACTAAACAATTGACACTGGACGCTAGACACTAGCCACTTGACACTAGACACTAGCCACTTGACACTAGACACTAGCCACTATAGACACTGGACTCTAGACACAAGAAACTAGACACTAGAAACTAGACACTAGACACTAGACACTAGTAACTTTAGACACAAAACAATAGACACTTTAGACACTAAACACTAGACACTATAGACACTAAAGACACTAAGACACGCTAGACACGCTAAACAGGCTATGCACAATGGACACACTAGACACACTAGACACACTAGACACACTAGACACACTAGCCACACTATTATCTTTTTTTATTTTTCTAATCTCTATATCTTTGCAACCCATTGTAATAGATCTCTAATATTACAAACTGTGAATTCGATTTTAAATGTTTTCACCAAAAAAACTCAAAAACTATATACTTTGAAACATATCTTAATATTAAAAAATGCATCAGTGCATACTAAAATTTGATTTTTAGGNACACTAGACACACTAGACACACTAGACACACTAGACACACTAGACACACTAGACACACTAGACACACTAGAGACACTAGATACACTAGAGACACTAGAGACACTAGACACCAGAATCTTGATACTATAGACACCAGACACTCTATACTAAAGACACCAGACACCAGAGACGAGACATCACAGATTTTCTAAAATACAAATAATTGACTTACGAGTGTAGTCTGGAACATGAAGAAGTGAGATTGAGGACCGAAAAAATTATTCTTTATGCACTTTAAACAGTTTCAGGGTAAAATAAAGAGAAACAACGGCTTTTGATGTTTTCAGTTTCTACCAATTTTTTTATAAAGTTTTAAAAATTTTGCGAAGTTTGTTAAATCTAAAACTTTAAAAAACATTTTGAAAGTAAATAAAGAAAAATGAAAAATTTCTTGAAAGATCAGCTTTAAACGCACCATTGTGAATCGGACATGTAAATCTCGACTACAGTCCCTTTAAAAGTGTCACTTAATTCCCATTTGTCTATTCGTCTACTTGTAATAAATACCGTGGCAGATCCCATTTGTACACCTAGATAAATTACGTTGTACATTGTCTATAAATCTAAATGAACTTATCAGTAACTATGCAAATCTTGTATTGCTATTAACCTAACCTAACTACGTCTGTAAATAACTATGTAAAACCTGTATTGTGATTAGCTTAACTATGTTGGTATATAAAATGACGCAAAACTTGTAGTTGCGTCTATTGAACTTAATCTGTAACCTAGAACCCAAAAAACATTCATTTGGTATTAGACTTCACTTTGATTACGGTGTGGGAGTAATTACCTCTTGGTTAGCAAACGAGAAGCGTCCTGAATCACTTTCTGGAAAGATAGATATAGATAGGGAACTGGTATAGATAGATTATGTCCGGATTGACATTGATAGTGAAGCATTGGTACAGATAGATTGTGTCCTAGTGAAGCATTGGTACAGATAGATCATGTCCGAATTGACATTGATAGTAAAGCATTGGTTCAGATAGATCGTGTCTGTATTGGCAATGATAGTAAAGCGTTATTGAACTGATTAGTTTGTATGCCTCGTAGAACAACAAGAGGAATTGAGTTGTACCTGGATTGATACGGGTCTTAAAGGATTTATTGGAGTAGGGCATTTACTGCATACTAACTGCATAATTGCATAATTTGTGTAAAGTTCATTGTCCGATGGGTAATAAAAATAATAATAATAATAATAATAATAATAATAATAATAATAATGCAGTGTAATATAATAAT